CTCTGTGAAAGGGAGGTCTATCAGAATGTACCCCTTCTGCCCAAAGAGGAGAACCTTCTCTAGGCTCTCCTGGTCAGAGAGGTTTCTAGGAAGACCCAGAGTGTGCTCATGACAATAGCTTATGACCCAAGGTGGGCAGTGGGACTGAGCCCCAGAGAGAGAGGCAGTGGAGGGCAGAGGAGAGAGCTGGGGCCATGATGGTCATCATAGGAGGGATGAAAGAAGCAGCTAGAAGGACTGCGTAGAGCCCGTGTCTCCAGGGGTCCCAGGTCTGTGGGAAGAGCAGTGTATTTGGGCCCCAGTTCTATAACCAGCTCAAATTTTTGTTTCTGCCTTTTGATGAATCCACCATCCAAAGAAAAGAGAGCACACACACAAACAATGAGGTGTGTTTTTATCCGTAGGGCAGCACCCTAGAAAAACTTTAGATAATTATACTAATATGAAAGGTTTGCCAACATTTGTTGTATGTATGTATCAGCACCCCTACCCCCTGCCACCTTTTTTTTTTGACACAGAGTCGCTTGGTTGCTAAGGCTGCCTTCAAACTTGGGATCCTCCTACCTCAGCCTCCCAAGTCACGGAGATTATAGGTGTGTGCTGCTGTGCCAAGCTGAAGTGAAAATGATTTTAAAGACATTTCAGAAAACTGTTTTCCACATACAGTAGTTTCCCCTTAATCTCAAGGCATCCATGATCCCAAATGGATGACTAAAACCACAGATGTACTGGCTCCTGTATATATTTTCCCCTAAACATACCAACAACAAAATTTAATTTATAAGCTAATCACTATAAAAGATTAACAAGAATAGCTAAAACCAAAATGGAATAATTATAAAAATGGACTCTAATAAAAGACATGAATTGTTTTCTTCTAGGAATGTCCATTCAGGAATTCCAAATGATGGGAAACCAAAGCTTAGCAAAAACCATAGCTGAGGGGGAACTATTGTAAACCTGATTTCTAAAAAATAGATGTGTGTGCCTGAGTATAAATCCATGTGTGCTGGCATTCCAGTGACTATACAGAAATGCTTGTTCTTACATAGACAATTTTTGGACATATATTGAAGAAAATATGAGTCTGGAAGTGGGTCCATAGAGAAGGCATGTGTTTCTCAAGTAATATCCACCAGGAACATATTTCTTTATGTTTAATATGCATTATTTTCATGACCGTTAAAAGGGGGAGTAGAAACTTAGGCCTTTTAATAATATGTAATAATAAGCATTGTAGCAACTCTGGGTAGGAGAGAAGGGAGGTTGTCTACTCTGAGGACTACGGCACACAGAGGGTGTCAGGGTGGGGACCAGCGTACAGGTATGTCACACTAGGAGCCAAATAAAGGCCTTCTGGTATTGACCTAAACAAATCTAGAAGGTCAGTCAGTGCTTAGCTTACTGGTTGAGGAAAGAGGTCTGTTGATTACTCCATTTTCATTTATCTGCAAATGTGGGTATTGAACCCAGATAATATTATATTAAGTTCACTAACAAATGAAAACCAAAGATGCCACATAACACATCTTTGCAATCTTGAGGTAGGCTTGATTCCTGAGTGAAGACCCAAAGACAGTAAGCTATAAAAGCATAAATTGGTAAATTGAACTTCATAAGAATTAAAGGTTTCTGCTTACTGAAATGTACTATCAGGAAACTGAATAGATAAGCCGTGAATGAATATTTATGTATATCACAAATTATGTATATGTATCACAAGTTTGTATTTATATTCAGAATAGTTAAAGAAATCTTATGGTTGAATATTAAATTGAACAACTTAGTTTAAAAAATGGGCAAAAGTCTTGAGCCAACTTTTCCTGTAAGATGATACACAAATGACTGCTGAGCACATAAAAAGATGCTCAATATAACTTGTTATCAGGGAAGTACAAACTTAAACACAGTTAATTCTATTGCACATTCACTAGATGGCGAAAATTTTTGAAGATCGAATTTCAAGTGTTAGCAAAAATGTTGAAAAATGTTGAACAACTATAACCTCTTGCACAGAACATGGTTTAGCAATTCCCTGCAAACATCCTCTCACAAGAGTTACTCAAGAAAAATGAAAACATGCCCTGGAAGCCTGGTACAAAAATTCAGAGCAGCTTTTTAAAATAATACCTATACCTGGAAACAAGTCAAATGTCCATCCATGGGTGGCTGGATAAACCAACTGTGGTATGTCCATTCAGTGAAATACTACTAATGATACTTTAAGAAATGAACTAGTGACATCATATCATAGGTAAGTAACAGAGAGCAAAATAGTGGTTTGCCTAGAACAAGGACAGGTGTGTTTGTAGTAGGGTACCAGGAAACTTTTGGGGATGATGGAAATGTGTCTCTTTGTTGCGTTCTTAATCTTGATTATGGTAGTATAAAATCTGTCAGAATTGATCAGCTGTACACTTGAAATGGCTGTATTTTACTGATGTAACTCATCACTAAAGAAAGCTTTTTTTTTTTTTCCTTAAGAATGGCCCCTGGGGAAGAGCTGGCAGTTAGGGCAGGCGTGCATGATCACACACCACCACATGCAGTTCTCATTTGTCAGTTTGCTTGCCAAGATGTCCAGGGGCAAGAATCCCAAACCCTGCCCTCCATTCCATTCTCTGCCTCAGGCTTCTTAGGACTTGGGTCTTTCAGCCTAGAAGGTAGGGCTGTAGGAATGCACCTGTGTGCTCCACTTCCCTGTGTGCCTGGAGACTGGCCTGAGTATCATGGCGGCATTAGTATTGTTCTCTGTGGAGCCCTGGGGTCATGGCATATCTGGTTAGAAGGAAAGATGGAGTTTATCTTCCAGCCACCTGTACTTGTCTACTTGTGTATCTGCCAGGCTTGGCTTGGGTGGTGCGGGTGACCTAGGGAGTTGTTGTGTGGGTCTGACAGGCTCCCCAAGCTTCAGTTCTCCTGAAATCCTGTGAATGTTGATGGTCCTCTTCTTTGAAGGTTCTCTTTCTTGCATCATGACTTCTATTAATCTGTGGCCCTCAGACTTCCTCCTGTGGTCCAGTGGGTTTTTAAAGAATACAGAATTTTCATTTACTGGCAAAATTAATAGGAAAGGTTCCTGACGTCTCTGCATTTCCTCTTAGCTGGGAAACTTCCTGGTCTCCCCGGGAGGTGAGACCATCTACTCAGGCCAATGGCAGGTCACCTGTCGCATTTGAATTCTCAGAGAAGGCACAGAACCATTGTTTGGTGAGAAGCAGCAGCTTGTTCTCTTGGTTCCTTTGTGAAAGGAGGGATAGGAGGAGGAAGCCACAGAGCTTGTCTCTCTGGGCTCATGGGTGCCAGCAACACTTCTAATAGCAGGGCCTGTAGGGAGATGAAGGGAGCTGAGCAGTGGGAGCCTGGGAGCAGTGAGCAGAACTTGGAGCTTTTCGATTAATCATTCTATGTATGTGTGTATGTGCCTGTACATACATGTATGCATGTGGGGGGTATTTCTTTTAGTTGGGAGGGATGACTGTTTTAGGAATTTCACCTCAGGAGTTTCCAAATAAGTTTATTTACCTGTTTCTCATACAATATATACTTATTGAAATGAACTTTTACTGCATTATGGAGTATAACTCACAGGCTTCCTGCAGGCAAAGTTTAAAAAAAAAAAAAAAAGGCCTGCAGAGTAAAGTTCCTTTACTTCTTTTTGAGACATTGTCTTCTGAAACCAGCGTCATCCCTATTATTAATCGCTCGTGGGTCTTTATACTGCATCGCATTACTCCCTTGGAATTAAACTGCACATATAAAGTATGAAAAATGTACTTTTTAAAACAGTAAAAAAAAAAAAAAGTAATTTTCTCACATAATACCCAAAATAAAGTGCCATGGAGCCATTAGTAGTAAATTGAATTTTTTGGTATGTAATTTGTACAAAAACTGACAAGCGCGAGCCCCCCGTCTCCCCCATCATTAGTCACCGGGTTTATCGGACATGGAGGCGGTAATCTGCAAGGGCAGGCATTTTGATGTCGACTTCAATTGCACACTTCATTTATTTGGACAGGGCACAGGCGGCAGCTTCTGTCACGGGGCATCACCGCACTATTAGCGAATTTCGCCCCAGGGCAGCTGGGACGCTGTGCTGGGGCAGATGTTCTTTTCAGCCTATTCAGTGACCATTCTTGGGGGTTGTTTACTGTTGCCATGGTGACCTTCATTTCCATAGCAGCAGCGCTGCTGTTTCTCAGAGGAAAATGAATTTAGTTATAAAAGGATAATATTTTTCTCTGTCTCTGTATAACCTGCCATCTGTCAACTGGTGGATCGGTAAGGATTCAGAAACCTATTAAGAATTATAGCAATAAAATAATGGGTATTTTTTGGGGGCCCGTATTAAAAGCAATAATAGATGTAGAAACAAGCACTGAGCCCTCAACATCAGAAGTTTACATTTTTCTTTATATTTTAAGTGCTTTCTTTTAATGCCTCCACCACCACGGCACACACGGCACACACACAACACCTCGTAAATTGTCATTTGCATTCTGCTAACAGTGGAAATGACCAAATGTCTTGTTTGTATCTCAGTTGATGCAGGTGTATTTAATGCTTTCTCTCAATGCTGTGAGCTTTCCCCAGTTCATAAAGATTCCTGTGGCTGAACTTCCCATTGTCACCGACTCCCCTGCTCCTCCACCGCAGGGTAAAGGCTGAGGGAAAGCACAGATCAGCAACTTACAGGAACATACAGTGCAAATGATGACATTAGCAGAATGAGAAGAGACTGTTCTCATTTGGTTAGGGGGAAAAAGCTACTAACATGCTTCTTAAATCTCCTTCTAGAATATGTTTTCTTCCTCTCAAATCCAAATGGTAAGAAAGTCACTTTTGGGACAGCTCATCTAGTTCCCAGATTTCTTCTTCTTTTTCTTCTTCTTCTTCTTTTTTCCTCTGTTGCATTCATAAATGGTAACTTACAGGGATAAAAACACACACACACACCGGCCCCGTTGTAAATAATATTATTTATTGGTTGATTTTTCCAGATCCTGACATTGATGCTGCCAGTGCCATGATGCTTTTGAATACTCCCCCTGAGATACAAGCAGGTTGTGAGTAGATATTTCTATAGCCTACAGCACCATAGTTTCTGAACTTATCCTTCTCATTTATATCCCAGGCCATAGGAAGAACTAATGCTGAAGCAGACCTTCCCTTGTCATCAGTTTACAAACTACAGCAGTGCGTGGTCACATGCATAAACATACAGACATGTGGCCACAAGCGTGTGTGGATGAATACACACATGAGGAAGTTCTGATGATATAATTTCAGGGCTTACAACATGGGGAGAGAGAAACAGGCCCCATCATGAATCCCAGTGGGGAGAACTTCCTTTCTCCTGTAGGAATTGTTGCTCTGAGTTGGTAGGAGATGCTCCTTGAAGCCAGCTTACCATGTTGGTGCTAAGCAATACCCATCTTTAGACATTCCTTTCCAGGACCTCATTAATGTCAGGCTGCCATTTTGAAAAGTCTGGCCTGTTCAATCTTGGACTAACCTTGAAAATGAGGCCATGATACTCCTTGATTTAGCCAAGCAGGGTTCTTGTCTTCACCTTCTCTTGGCCACTGAGCAATGTCCAGTTTGAGATAACTCTTTTCTTTACTTGGACTTCACTCCTACCTACCACCCAAGGCTTATTCATATCTTTGGAGCTAGACTACTGAGTTCTGGAAGCCTCCTTCCATGAAAATGACCTTAAGTGAAGACATTGCCCCTTCTTTCTCCTGACTTAGGCCCACATCCCACACCTAGCAGACAGATCTGGTCGCTAGGATCTACCCAGCTTGTCATAGGGACCTGTCTCATTCCTGTGACTGGTTCTTCTGCCTCCTGAAGGCCTTGTGGCCTCCTGAGCAATGAGAATGCCCCACTTTTAGAGAACAGTGTTGTCCTCAGGAATGGTCCATCCCCAAACCCTTAATAGGTGTCATTATGGACTGATGCAGGGATTCAAACCACCTTTCATCACTCTCTGCTTCTCCCAGCCTTCCTGATAGCTTTAAGAAATTGGACTCGGTTCTTCTTTGTTCCTTTTTAAAGACCCAAGAGACATAGCCAGGCGTTCTCAGAGAAACCTGGTCTTCTGCCTGGGGTCGCCCTTTTCGGCTCCTAAGGGTGCACAGCTCCCATTCTGCCAGCATTCCTGTCCCTCTGACCAGCAGACCCCACGTCTAGGCAGATGTGTGACTGACGTACTAGAGCCATTCACCTGAAACGTGGCTTTTGAGTGATGCTTTATGTTTCAGAGAAATATATATACTTAAAAACCTCTGTTCTCGGGAGGCATCGTAGAAAAATTACAGCCCAGATTGTAATCAGGTTACGGGCTGAAATGGTTTCTAACATCAAGTTGCATGACCCATCCTAGGGGAAACATTGATGTCATCAGAATCAGTGTGAGGTTCAGGCCCCTTCCCCCAGCACCCCACCACTCTACTTTAAAGATAAACTCTTGTGATGAACTGCTTGCTGGGAGTGAGAGGTACAATGGAGATTCTGGAAAAGGCAGTGGGATTGAGGGAACATTCTCAGATGCTCAGCATCTTCTGTGAAAGGCCAGTGTTACTGGATTCATGACTAGAGATGGGAAAGGAAAGGGGTACTCCTGGTTAACTGAGGGGTTGAGTGTTGTCTTGGCTAAGGGGCAGTCTTTCCTCAGTAAGTAACCTCCAACTACAGGATTCTCTGTAAGCCATAGGCCTATCTGTGTTGGAATGCTGAGTTTGATTTTTAAAGGCTTAGCATTCCTGTTTGAAAGGTTTAGGAGCATTCTTAGAAAGCTTTCTTGGAAAGCCTTGGCTATTTCCACTGTGGGAAGAGTCCATATGGCCTCAGCCTTCAGGAAGGCCCAAGGCCCTCTAGACGGGAAGAACCAGGATGCCTGCAAAGGTCATAGCGAGAGCTACTCTGCAGAAGCTGCTCAGAGAGCTAAGGACACCACCCTTATATTCACCCTTGTATTCCCAAGGGCAAGCGGGAGGGGTGGGCAGATGGACAGTAAAGCCCTTAGAGGTGGGAGCTCATGCTCTGTAGGGAGGGAGTGAAGAGACATCCAGACAGCCAGGTGGCCCCTCCTCAACCTCTCCTAGACACCGCCAGCGGTAACTGGCTTCAGCAATGGACCACAGCTTTTAGCCAGCTCCCCTTTCCTTTGCTGCCTCCTTTGGATCTTGCCTTGAGACCTGAGGCAGTACTTTGCCTCCTTTAGGTGAAGGGTGACAGAGCTAGAACAACAAAGCCACCATTCCCCACCCTGCCAGTGTTGAACCAGGCCTAGAGAAAGTGAGCCTGGGCAAAATGTGTAGAGGCAGTGGCCGGCCGTGGGGCCCTATGCGCGGCCTGGAATAGAGGCCTTCCCCAGGTGCGGGACTCCTGCCCCTGCCCACAGAGCAGGGAGCGTGGCTCTGAGAGCTCCCCGTGTTTCTAGCCCGCCCAGAGGCTGCCTGGATCCCCTGGGTGCTTGGCAGGACTGTCTGTAGAGCCTCCTGATGAAGTGCTATTTATAGCCCCCATTTTCACCTCTCGGCTGCCCCAGGCCCTGTCTGAGTGGGAGCTACCTCATGGTCTCTGCCATGCCATGGTTCCCTCCCAGCAGTTGGAGGCCAGCCTGGGTGCCTTGAAAGGTTTTTCCTTTGTCATCACCCTCTGTAGCCACTCCACTTCAGGTCACCAGATGGCAGCCACTTAGAGCTCTCCCTCTCCTCCTTCCCTTGCTCAGCATCTGCAGAGCCAGCTCGGGGCTGGCAGGTTGGCCACCGTCCAGGGTCTGAGGCTGAGTAGGTTGTACAGAGTGAGCTGCTCAAGAAGCTGGTGAGAACCCCCGTCTGCAAGCTTCTTTCTCTCCCAGGGGTCCAAACTGCCCAGGGGAGCCCCCCCCCATCCTGGACTGTTGGAGCTGAAATCCCAGAGGGTCCCACCACCCCTCATTGCAGTCTGATGCTTCCCTTTCAATAAGGCAGCAGAGTGTCGCTAATCAAAACTCAGCTCCAACAGTTTGTCCCCCTGGCAGCACCCGCAGCCTGTGTGGCATTAGGTTTTTCAGACTTTGCCAGTTTGCAGCATGGGACACATTCTGTAAGGAGAGTCCTCAGAGTCCCACTTGCTCCCTGGGAGGCTCCTTGCAGAAGTCAGTGTAGAGCACAGCAGGTTCATTATCCTGAGCTCTGGATTATGCTTGGAGTCAAATCCACCCACCTATCCCACCTGCCCCCGGAAAAGTGACCATGTAGACTGATTTCAGCTTCCTGCATCTCCTGAAGCACCTGCTTGCAGCTCTCCTGTGACAAACCCTGTGAGTCATCTTGAACCCCCGTGGAGGAATTGTTATTAAGTAGGAAAAGCCAGATCACCATTACTCATCTTCAAAGGCTTATATAATCCCTGGTTGGAATGTTCCCAGAGACGAACTCTAGATAATGGGGGAGGGAGAGACACTGTTCTGCACCCCCTCCTGGCACTGGGGTGCAGCATAAAAAAAGCAACCAGGAAACAGACTGTGTCCTGCCACGCCAGCTCCCCGTTCCCCAGCCTGCTTCCAAGCCAGTGGGTAAGAAGGGCGCCTTCGGGAAAAGGACGGATTATAGGAGTCACCTGCTGCTCAGCTTATGGCCTCTGCCAGAGCTAGCCAGGGCTGCTCTCCAAGGACCGCCGTAGGAGCTCCCAGGTTAATTTTAGAAGTTGTAAAAAAATGAAGGAAGTTCCATATCAAGAGGGAAGTTAGAGAAGTGCTGAGGGGTGACATCATGTGCAGGGAAGTTTGTCCTGTGCCTCAGACTTTTTTTTTTTTTTTTTTTTAAAGATTTCCAAGATTGCATTATCACATTAGATCATTACATCTGTAATGAGCGGTACTGCTCAGCTTGGCTGTTCTTATGTATGAGTGTTGCTTTCTTGCTAAAGTCTGAACATTTTAGAGTCGCTCTGTAACTTCAGAGAATATAGTTGGCCAGTGGGTGGTCCTAGGCACCTTATCACAGCAACCTGAGGGCCCTAAACCTGTCTAACTTGCCTCTAAGCAGTACATATTGAAACTGCCTCTTCCAGTGAGACATCAGTCAGCAAGAAGCTGATTTCAAATGTGTGGTTCTTAAGTCTTTGACCTAGCTGGAGTTTGGCAGCATTTCAGTACATCAGGTGGGGTGGCTTGGCTGCAAGGCGTTGGCCTTGAGGTGTCTTGATATGCTTTGAGGAAAATAGTGAAAGGAAGAGAGAGAGCAGGTGCTGATAGACCAGGGGCTGAGAATGGACTCAGGTTCCTGCTGAGTCCCAACATCTGAAAAGTAGCGAACAGTGAGTCTCAGGATGCCTTTCTCAGGCAGAGCCGTTTTGACCGCTGTGATGTGTTTTTCAGAAGCCATGTTCTCGACACTTGGGGATGGGGACAGAAAGGAGGAGAGACGTGGGGAACAGTTAAGTGTCACAGCTGGCTTCTGGCAGTCAATGAGCAAATATAGACACATCCGCCATCTCAACATGGAGAAAACTGCCAAGGAGGGGATGAGAAACGCCAGGACTGGCAGAGGCAGCACGCCATCGCAGCTTATCCGAAAACAAGCCCTGGGATCTGGAAGATGAGCCAGTGCATGTGCCAGAGTCTTGTGGAGCTCAGGAAATAGCTCAGGAGCACGTCTTCCATGAGATTCCCTGGAAAGTGTGTGCAGTTCCTTAATTGGGAAGATATATTAATGGGTGAATCAATAGTTAGAGCTCACTACAAAGAAGATAATAGATGGAGAGAAGTTCCCCATGGACAACCTGACACCTTCATAGATGGTTAATAAGAGGTTGCTGGAGAGGGGATGTCGGAAGGTGGAAGGATGGCGATGGTTATGATGGTTATGGCGGTAATGATGGCGATGGCGGTGATGATGGCAGTGATGTCTGTGAGCATGCACAGGCCGTCCAGCCAAGCAGTTGACCTAGCTTACCTGATTTAAGTCTTCAGAACCATCTTACAAGGTGTTTTAGGTCTGCTTCACTGGTGAGGAAATGGAGGCACAAAGGTTAAAGTGTGAGCCCAAAGCCACAGAGTTGACCGTCCTGCAGTCTTAGAACAAAGGCTGTCCTCCTTTCAGCCATTGCAGTGTACCTCTTCCACCTCCAGAAGGAGTCCATGAGACAGGGAGCATCCAACACGCTGGATCTCCAGTAGGTGCCAGGTGGGGACCGGCTTCCTTCACACTCCTGCCTGCCTAGGTGCCTCTGGGCATTTGGGCAGAGGACCGGGCACATGGAGCACCATCCCTAGAGCTGCTTTTCTTCTTCGATTGGCCATGCCAGAATGAAGAAGCATGTGTTTTCTGTGACTTGCTATCCTCCTGTTCCAGGGTTTTCTGGTCTTTTCCAATTTTAAGTGCTTGGAGTGTTTGCACGGCAGAGGTGACTCTGACATAACACAAACCAGGGGAACCAGGAGCATCACATCAATGGTTGTTGCTCTTCCAGCCACTCTGTCACCAGGAAGACAGCTGGACCCTTGCTCCTTGGTCTGGCTTTTATCTCATTCCACTTTTGTGGGTTTTTAGCTCCCGTGAAATGCAGAAAGCACAGGACCTCAGGACCCCCCCTGAGGATGATGATGGTGTTAGCAATGATGATGGTGTCATGGTAGCTGACATGCCTTTTATTAACTCAGTTCAGCTCCCCAATACCCTGAAAGGTAAATACCACTTTTTGTCTCCCTGCTTACTTGAGGAGCCAACGTGGCTTTCTCCGAGGACCATGGCAGTGTGATGGGACACAGACTCAGGTTGGCTTGACACCAGGGTCTGGCTCTCAGCCACTTTCCTGCTCCAAACCATAAAGTGGTTTTCCCAGTACCCAGGGGATAAAAAATCAAATGCATCTCTTTCCTTCTAGGATTATATGTTGTAGCAAAATATGCTTAGTTCCCTTGTGCACCTGGAGCATTTTAAAATCATTTTTAGGCCTTTATATGCACTGCTTCTGTGCCTTGGAATTCCCGTGTAGATGGCACTTCCTGCAGAAAGTCTTCCCAGATACCCCTCAGTTTGGGTTGGGTATCTCCAGGCCCAATTCCCTAGAACCTACCTTGCTGGGATTTCATTGTATCCAGTTCATTTGCTTCTCTGCACAAGATCCCTAGTGACAGATATGGCAGAATTAGACAACCCGTGGCTATCTGAGCATTCCTAGGGAATACTATACAGCAAAATAATTGAAACCCTCCCACAGTCCCCCAGACAGGAGGCCTTATCTACAAACCCTGGAGTTCTCCCGGCCTTTTGTATCAGTCTGTCTTTGAGAATTACGGATATTTTCCTCCTACATTTTCTTCTAGAAGTTTTGTAGTTCTCGTGTTTAATTCTACGATCCATTCTAATTAGCTTTTCATGTGTGTAATGAGATGAGGGTCAAGGTTAGTTTTTTCCAGATGGATCTCCCGGATCCGGTTGTGCTAACTCTCTCCTTTCCTCTGCTGTGTCATTTCCATACCTTTGTCCAAAATCAGTTGAGCACACATGTGTGGGTCTATCTCTGGATTCCGTTTGGTTCTCTTGGTCTGTATTCTGTACTTCTTTTAACACTACATGGTTTCGTTTCCTGTAATTTCATAGGAAGTCTTGAAATCAGATAATATAAATTCTAGACATTCTTCCTTACAGAGAACTTGTCGACTAAGCCAGCTAGAACTAGCTCTACGCCATGCTGTAGCAGCTCTGTGCTTTAAGTCTTCCTGCCCTGGGTGACCTCATCTGTCATCTGAAATCAGGCTGCTCACTGAGATGGTGTGAGTTCCTGGTCTGGTTCCACCTGCTCTCACAGTTAGTTATGGAAAGACACTGGGGACCTTCGGGAGCCTACGTGGACTTGATTGATAGTCCTGACTTAGGCAAGGATTTCCATTTTGTTTCCCATCTTGCCTTCTGTAAGACCTTCCACAAACCTGGAAGACAATTGGCAAAAAAATATTCACAAAAAGTACAAAAGGCGCAAGAAATAAGCAGTCTATACGATATCGTGTATTCAAGAGTGAGCATTCACCTTACATAAAGGACCTTTAAAACTTTGGAATATTTCTGGTAACATTCTTAGAGAACTAAACATTATGTAAGTAAAACATCCATAGAGGTCATTTGTTTTATAAAAAGTATTCATTTGTACACAAATATGCTGGCTTTAAAAACCGAACGTGGAGACTGATTCTCACTTTTGAATGTCTAATTTCCTAGTCTTTTCAATAGTCTGTAAAAGCATTTGCTTGCGTATGATACCGTGCCAGGAGCCCGGGGGGCAGAAGGGGCCTTGGGAGAACACTGTTTGGAGAAGGAAACAAATTCAAGGAATTGTACAAAGTCACACAAGAAGAACTAAGAGCCAGACACAGTGGCACACACCTGTAATCTCAGGGACTCCAAGCAAGACTTGGCAGGAGTATCCCAAGTTCCAAACCATCCTCAGCAGTTTTGTGAGGCCCTAAGCAACTTAGCCAGACCCTGTCTCAAAATTTAAAAAATGAAAAAGATTGGGGATGGAGCTCTGTGGCAAAAGGCCCCTGGGTCCAATCCCCAGCGGGGGAAAAAAATCTAAAATGAAAACCCAGCAGTGCTCTCCCGTAGCAGTTCTCCCTTGGTCCCACAGACTCACAGCAGGTTGTTAGTAGATGTCAGAAGAGACAGAAGATGAGCCAGATGAAATGGCTGTTTGGGAGGTCAAAAAAGGTCAGCCGTCCCTGAAGTTCCCTGTTATGTAATCCCAGGCAAAGTCGGATTGGTGGGAAGCTACACTGAATATGTGTGGAAAACTGACAGGGTCTGAAGGTGGCTGGTGAATTGGCTTCACAGTTAGGGTTAGGGTTGCTCCAGGGACAGGGGGTTTAAAAGAAGGCGGGGTGCTGAGGGAACTCTCAGGAGACTCAGGGAAGCTTTGGGGAAGGAGGAAGTGGGGTCCTCCACAGCGATCTGTGTGTGACCCTTCCCTCCCATCCACTCTTAGGAGGGGTCTTTCCTCTAATGACAAGGTCGTTGTGAGGGTGGGCTGGGCTGCTGGTGCTTGGGAGATCCTCTGCTGTTATACCTTTGCCTTGTGGATGAAGGACACATAGGAAGGTGGTCCCAACTCCTGGCCATGACCAGAGAAGCATGAGGAAATGCCTTTGTCCGGTCATCTCCTGTCCTGCTGTGTCAGTGTTTTTTGAGATGACCTTAGGGTCTGACCAGAGATAAGCACTTACATTTAACAAGTGCAAGAAAATGATGTTTGAAGCCCACTTTTTAAAAACTCACTTTTTTTTTTAAACCTAGGCAGCAGTAATTTATTTGTAAGCTGTTGGTCTGACTTAGTTACCCACCAAGTTAGCTTTGTAGCCTGCGGTCTTGTTCTTCCAGTATATGTTTCTCTCTCTCTCTCTCTCTCTCTCTCTCTCTCTCTCTCTCTCTCTCTCTCTCTCTCTCTCTCTCTCTCCTCATGTCCAGAATTTCTGACTTAAAACAATATCTTCACAGCAGGATTCACATGTTGTCTTTCTCCTTTTGCTTTTCCAGTTTCTCCAGGAGTGATACAAAATGGAGCGCGGGTTCTGAGCCGAGGGCTGTTTCCTGGCGTCCGGCCATTGCCAATCACTCCCATTGGAATGACGGCAGCCATGAGGTAAGGGAGGAGCTCACCAGCCAGGGCCGGCCGGTGGAGGGGGGAGGGCATCACCCCATGGGGCCCCCACAGAGGATGCAGAGGACCAGCCTCTAGAGACTGAAGACAAACCTAGTTGGAATGTTCAACAAAGTCAAGGTCACCTCCAAAGCCCCTGTCCAAATGCCAGGCTCTCCTTCTTGGGCCGTCAGATGATCCTGGTTTCCGTGCAGATGAGGTGATGCAGACAGGTTACATGGGGTGGGGTATTCATTAGATTCCAGGCTGATGGAGCTACCTCTGGACCTAGCCCCCTGGCTTCCCTGCCTGGCTCTGGGCTGGTGTCTGACTCTACGGGGACTCAGTTCCCTCATCCCCCGTCCTCCTCCACCTCTCGGCAGGGGTTGCTGTGAAACTCAAATGCAAAAATCACATGTGAAATGTGCTTTGGTAAGTGGTCTATAAATAGCAAGTGGCCTCATCTCCCTGTTTCCAAGAATCAGGTCAGTTGCCAAACCACATGCCAAGCCGGTCTCCTTGGGAGATTCCATTCCTGTGTCCTCCTCATCCCCACTGACAGTCCTGGTGAAGGTCCACCGCTAGCTTAGACCCTCTTGTGCAGCAGTGTGGTGGCCTCTTCCTGTTTATCCTGCGATTCCCACTTCACCTTGACATCCCCCGGTCTTCCCTTCTTTCTGAACCAAATGTGCTCATCCAATGTATGTGGAATTTGCCCAGAATTTCTGTACAGATTTCCCCCAGCCTCCATGTGACTCCTTGGTGACACTTTTCTGAAAATGGCCACCCAGCTTGGGACAGATTTTGCTTTTCCCATCGACCCTCTGCTTGGATTGTGACCATTTGGTGTGTGACCCTGTCTATTAGTAATTTTTTGGTGTGTGCCTTCTGTTCTCAGTGGTTGGCTTGCTGGGGATGGGGAGTAGGTCTCGCTCAGTTGACTGATGGCCAGTTGCTCATTGCTGGTGCAGACAACCCCTCTAGAAGGCCTGTCTGTCTGAGAGCCACCCCTCCCAGCAGCAGCCCTTTCCTTTTGTTTGATTTAGGGATCAGGCTTGCACCTGAGGCCATTTTACTCTCATGGTGTTGCATGTCCCTAAGGAAACTGTCCCGGAATCTGTTTAACTGGGCCTGAGGGAGAAGCATGGTCAAATTTGGCTTGCACAGGTCAACCAGGTGGAGATTCTCCATAAACTGTGTCTTTGAACTTTTGCAGCCAACTAGCTTGCTTTTACCAGGAGGGATGTTGCTTAATCTTTAGGGCCGACTCTGGTTATCTGGGACCTGATAATGCCAGATTTTGGTAGGAATTAGAATAGTGATAGATCATAAAAAGCATATATCATTCCGACTAACCTGACAGGGAGGTGCCTTCTAAAATTACAGGCTGTGGCGCTGCTTCTTATGCTTCTCTGCAGTCCTTCCTGGTTCCCCTTAGATCATTAATGCATCTTGAGCTCTGAAGTGATGATCATCTTCCAGGAAAGCCAAAGTGGCCTTGCCTTGCACTGTGAAAGCCACTTGTTCCACTTTCCATTCTTAAAACCTTTCCCATCTCACCTCCTAGTTTACCATTTTGGCTGAGAAGACTTTGAGACTGTAGGCTATTTTTTTTTTTTTTTCGTGAAGCAACAATGTATTTCCATTAGCAGGTTCTCATATATGGTCTTCACCTTCTTTGAGTGCCTTCAAGAATAGCTTTCACTGTGAGTCAGCCATTCCTTCTAGAAGACACAACAGAGCCCAGCAGACACCAGGGTAGCCTTCAGCTGACCCTGTCTCCTGATTTTAATTATTAACCTCATGGTATATATGATTGCAAATTTTACTGATTAGTACTCTCTAGAAGTATTATTTTAAATACTGATGGTTTTCCCCCTTGTCATGTGCTCTTGGGAATAAACTCTGCAGCCAAACAATGATGTCTTGTTTCTGTTCAAAGAGCTGTCTCTCGACCAGGTGTGGTGTTCACACCTGTAAGCCCAGCTACCAGGGAAGCCTAGGCAAGAGGATTGCAAGTTCAGGGCCAGCCTGAGCAACTTAGCAAGACTCCATTTCAACATAAAAAGGACCGAGGAATATAGCTCAGTGGTAGAATGCATGACAGTACTCAAGGCCCTAGGTTCAATCCCAGTTCCAGGGAAGAAGACAAAAAGCTGCCACTCTCCCATCTGTGAGCACTGAAGTTAGTTCCTTCCAGAGAAAGCCCAGAAAATAGCTTCTAGGACTGGACCTGTGTGTCAGCTGAGTTCAGCTAGGAGACAACAATCACACCAGGTGTTTGAACAGAGAGCCTCTAAGATAAAAGAACCATTACCTAGACAGAAAGTTATTAACCAGGTAACCAAAAGGATATAAAAAGCGAACCCAAAGTCTCACGGGGCAGGGCGGCAGAGGGGGGGAGCAGGCTCCGCATCAGGCCGAGGGAACATTTGGGAGAAGCTGGAAATGGTGGCCCCATGGAGCTGACGCTTGGGCTCCTGCCCAGAGGATGGTGTCTAGGACATGAGGTCTGGGCTCCCAGCCCCTGAGGAGTGGGTGCACACTGGTGCCCGCACTTCAGAGGGAATAGAGTTCTGCAAACATTGGGAAAACTGTGCACTGGATTCCCCCGGCTACTACAGAAGGGACTGCTGCTGTTGAGGTGCAGAGATGCTGCTGGGAAGACAGGAGCAGGAAACAGAGGCTAGAGTCTGTCCCTTCTCCTCTATCACCTCTGCAGTCTCCAGGGCTCCCCCTGTTGGCGGAAGCTGATGGTCAAGCAAAGTGTGGCTTGCACAGCCCAGCACCAGGCCCAGCCCCATCCCAACCCCTGCCCCCAGCCCCAACCCAAGACTTTGAATCACTGTAGAAGAGTGAGTTTGAGGCTGACGACAGTAGCCTTGTATTGGCACAGTTTGCTTAATGTCAGTCCTGGAAGCATTCATAATCTAATCAGCCTTTTAAGGCTGATCTTCCTGAGCATCATAGGAGTTTTGAGCAAACTCATTTTGGTAAAATATGCAACCACAGTTTGCAAAAAAAAAAAAAAAAAAAAAAGTTTCCATTTCCGTAAATAGAGATAACTAGTAAAGAAAGCCATAAGTCATGAGCGGTACATTGTCTAAGTCAGTTCCATCCCTGACCCTTAGTTTTAAGGGAAATTATGGGGAGAGGGTAGAAAGTTCTATAAGGTTAGAGACACTTGCTTGTGGTATCTCGGACCTCTGTTTATAAGGCAAAAAATAGGTACTGAGATGCTTTCAGGAAAATGAACATAAACCCAGCCATGTGTACTTTTGCAGAACCAGCAAATTTTTTTTGTAAATCCCACTGACAGGTGATTGGCCGGGAAATCGTGTTTTGCTTTTTCACGCCCATTGTAATTTTTAAATTTTTGAATTTGGCCACAATGTCAGTCAAACCTGAGGTTGAGAGGAATGTGAAGGAACAACACAGACCAATGTCTGCCTGGCCCATGGCAGTTGTGTACCTAGGGATTCCAGCCTGCGGGGTCCCAGTGTTTACAGGGACTGCTGCCCCAGGCCAACAGCTGGGGCCCAGGGAGGGCTGAGAGTCATTAGCACCCACTAAAGACCAATTTCCTCTTCTCCTTTGTGTGATAGGTTTTCCGTGTGAGGCTGAGCACTTCTCCTTAAGTGAAAATATTTGTCTTTCAGGGAATTCCCCCCCCCCCCTGAGTGGCAAAGGCCATGTTTGTTTGTCTTAACTCTGAAACTGTTATTGACATAGATGAAGTGTTACTTTTATTAGCTGATCATTACACAGCTTGTATTTGCTGGGTTCCTTTGCATATAATTATGATGTGAAATCTCCTCCTAAGAGTATCTGTCAATAGTGTAATTGACTTTAGCGTGTTGACTCTTTGCTCAATAACCTCAGAGATTGGCCCATCCTTAGGCATTGGAAACCTGCTTATTTTTAAATTTGTCTGGGCATAGAGTTCTCAAGAGACATCAGCCTTAAAATAACTGCTCACGCGTCTTCGAGTTTTATGACAGTGTCTTGTGCTGCTGTCCCAGCGAAATTCCCTGCAGAGACTGTTGAGTTGAACAAACGAAGAACAGACTCTGGCCTTTTTGGGAAAAGGAGCCCAGATTTCTTACATCCCTAGTGTCCTGGGGGTGTAGCAACTCCCCTGGCCCTGGGCCACATTGCTGGGTCGTTATTCTGAGACCTTAGGAGAGCCTCATGGCTTTGAAGAAGGAGGTCTGTCCTATAAATCTAGGCTGCAACATTCATAAAATGGTAAGAAAAGTTCCATTTAATCACCATACAAGGCTGCTTGATTTTATTTGCAACTCAGATGAAAACTGAACTTCCCGTGGAACGTGAAGCAAGCTGGCCATTCGGGGTCCTATTACAAAGCAAAAACATCCATTTTTAAGGTCACATTAAAATGGAGTCATCAAGAAAACCCATCTCTCTGCCTCAGATCTGCTGCTCTTTTGGCTTGCCTTGCTTGTCTTTCCGCCTTGAGAAGATGTTCACAACAGGATAAGATAGGGTTGTGAGCCAGACGCCATGGCGCACACCTATAGTCCCAGCGGATCGGGAGGCTGAGGCAGGAGGATCGCGAGTTCAAAGCCAGCCTCAGCAAAAAGCTAGGCGCTAAGCAACCCAGTGAGACCCTGTCTCTAAAATACAAAATAGGGCTGGGGATGTGGCTCAGTGGTCAACTGCCCCTGAGTTCAATACCTGATACCTAGGGTTATAATCTGATTGTGGAACTTTAGGGGAAAATTAAGACACTGATCATTTCCTGTATTGTGTTGTATTTTGTTTTGTTTTGAAAGACAAGGCCCCTGTTTGCCTTGGTCTTCTGGGATCACAGCATTCGAAGGTGATTATGGAACTCAGAGTATGCCTGGGTAGGAGAGGAGAGCATGCTGGAGGGCGAGGCTCAAGGGACAAGGGAGACGGAGCAGGGACCTAGTTTCCCCCTGGGCCCCCTTCCCGGGAAAAGTCTTTGTTTTTGTTTTCTTGGTCTGGAAATCTTAGCA